CAGATATGCCCAAGGGACAGGATACAGTTCACAGGACGCGGTGCCCTAGTGCATGCCATTCCCTTTGCCTGAAATCCTACCCCTCTCCACTGCCACTGCAGACCCCTGCCTCTGTAGCCAGGCCCAAGCGCTGCCCCATGAACCTTCCTTGATTTCTTCCAACCTGAAGAGACTTCTCTCTCCTGGGACTCCCGTAGTTCTTTGCTGCTTTCTACTTCCTGCTCTCCACCCTCGGCTTGGGGTTATAGTTATATACATGCCTTTCCTTTCTCGAAACTACCATTCTTGTGAGTACAGGGTCTCTATTTTTCTCAATGTCTAACACATGGCAGGTGCTAAATAATTATTTGTAGAATAATCCAGTCTATTCTTGTTAGGTTGACCTGTGTTGCAGCAGTTTATTATTTTATTCGACATTTTTGTGTACAGGGTTTTTTAAAGATTAATTGACACTAGTTATCACATAGAATCTCGGGTTTTAGGGAAAAAATGCCAGTAGCTTTCCTGATATACCTTCTTTAACTAATGGGATGTTTTAATTACTTTTTAAAATGCAAAATGATTGGTTCTTTGGGTAGATAGTCAGGTACTTTCTCCAGGACCACTGCCTTTGCCCAACCACTTCATGAGTTTGTGTTCAGACTTTTTTTCCCATACAAAGTGAACACATTTTAAAGTTTTGATTCAAGATCTTAGCTATCTCTCTCAAGTACAAATTAGAAACTAAGTAAACACCAGAAAGGAGAGTCCTGTGAGTTCTGGAAAGACCATTACATCCTTATTTTTCGAGCAATACCTTATCTCATTCTTTGTCTTTTTATTTGAACCAGCAAGCATCTGAGGAATGTAGAAGATGTGAGAAAGTAAAAGGCTTTAGAAATGATAGAAATTAACAGAAGAAAAAATTCTAGGATGCCTTGTATCTGCTAGGCAAGCAGTGTGCCTAGAGATAGAGTCTCACTAAGTTGTCCAGGCTGGTTTCCAACTCTCAATCCTCCGGCCTCAGTCTCCCCATTAGCTAGGTAAGCACCATTGTGCACAGCCCATAAATTCTGACGTGGAAGTGTGGATGGTGGTTCTGGCAACTTTTTCTAATTCTGACAATTCCTTATAGGAACTTTTTTCCTTTCCTTTTTGGGGTGCAAAGCATACGCTCTGTCACTGAGCTCTATCCCTAACCCTAATTCTGGCAATTCTGGCTGAGATGTTTCTTTGGTCACTGCCAGAATGTGGCAATGCTTTAGGAAAACAACCAGAAGACAAGTGGCTGCTGCTACAACCGTGTGCCTGTGGATTAGCCAGTGGGGTGTAAAGTTGGCCGGCTTGTCCAATAGAGTGGTATAAGAATGATTGTTGATTAAGCTTGATTGTGTTTGTGGATTTTCTGGCTCTTTTCCTTGCTACTTTCACTCCGCACGCAGTTAAGGAGATTCCCAGATAATGAAGTCAGGTTAGACTTGTTGCTATTTAACAGTGTCTCGGTTTCACTTGAAGATTTGCCCAGGGTGTGGAAGCTGTTGACACTGCCTCCACTACCTACTGAGGATACAGCAAAGTGCCACTTCCAAGAATGTCACAGGGGATTAGGCAAGGTGTCAGCTGTGAGTGAGTGGTGCCTGCCACTCTGTCTTTATTCCACTATCTTCCACTTCACTTTTCCCAAACAACAGTCAGGGGAAGCTGAAGACCCTTGTGCCTTTCTCTCCACCAACAGAATTCAAAGAGAAAATGGATCACAGCTATGGAGAGTTCTTTCCATCTTGGCATCCGGTGAAGTGTTCACTTAGTTGCAACTTTATCTCAAGTGCTAATTGATGCTGTTAACTTCCTACAGTGATGCCAGGAAATTGTAAGAGGAAATCACACCCTCCTTATCTTGTACTAGAGAACCACGTTTCTTTGGCCAAAGGAACACTAAATGACACTGGCACTGTCTAATGTAATTGGAAAGATGAGTTTTTGAGAGGTGTCCCTGTATCTTATAAAAATTGTTATATAGCTAAAAAGTGGCACTTTCTTTAGCTACTCACCAGATCAGAGTGAATGTACTATGCTAGTATATTTTCAGAACTTGAGTGGGTATTTCCTACTTGTAGAAATTCTTTAGTTTTAAGGTATAACATTTTGCTGAATTATTAAAACCACTGTGCTTTCTTTGTGTGTAATTGTTTACTTCTAATCAAATGAGAATGTTAACTTACTATAGATGTAAAATGTCTGGGCATATAATTGAACAAGGATACACACGTAAGCATTTCATGTCTATGAAATGGTTTCTCGACCTACCTACTTATATGACTTCTGATACATTATGTATCTTATGCCCAATTTCTCGTGTGGCTAATAATGATAGCCATCTCATGGGTTATTATACCGATTCAATGAGTGCCTAAAACACTGCTCAATAATGTTCAATATTATTGTTGTCAATTTTAACATTTTTATTTGTTGATATTCTCAATTGATAAGTACCCAACTGTATAACAGAGATTTAACTATTCTTGGTCAATGAATAAAGGACTTATAATACTATACTTTTCTCTGCCTGGGATTATTTTTTTCAGCCTTGACAGAGAACAATGTGAGAAGTCCCTGCGCAAGTGAAGTAAGAGCAATTAGAAGTCGATGAAAGTTTAAAGAGATATTTCTCAAAAGATATTCAAGAAATTAGAGGCAACACTGTCAGTACAAACTTATAGACCCTGGATGACAGAGGTTATAAACTAGGGAAATTACAGATACATCTTTAGTTATAATAAATAAAACCAATCTCTAGATTACATTACTACAAAAGTAATACATTGTTTCCCACCTCCCATCCCACCTAAAATAACCCAGCAAGACCACTGACCACTGAAAAGTCAGACTATGACATGACACTCCCCCTCTGGGGGACAGCAAATGCACAAACACAGTGTTTAACTCACTGCTTGCCCCTTGACACTTACGGTTGCATCCTCCAAACATTTGGCACCAACACCTTCATTAGCATCATTTCTACACTCAGGACAAGTTTATCCCCCACCAACACCTGGAAGCGACATGGCATTGAAGTGATACTTGCCGTCAACTTCTCTGCTGAACAAAGTGTGGCTAAATGTCCGAAGGCAGTAAAACGTGTGCCTGGTGAGCTGGAATGAAACAAATCAGAAAGTCAACAAACAACCAGCGAACCAGGAAAATCAGCCCGAGATGGCTGAGTCTGTTTGTGGCATGTTGAAATAGTACTTCCCACCTAATCGCATTGTATTGGTTCCGTTTAAGCAATGGGCAGCAGGATTAATAATAACTAAGAGGGCTGGGTATGTAGCTCACTGGCACGGTGCCTGCCTAGCAAGTGCAAGGTCCTGAATTTGGTCCCTGGTACTGGGAAAAGAAACAGTAACTAAGAAATCAATAATAGTATCAATAATAGGACTTCTTGTTATGTTCATACTCTCTCCACTCACGGTTTTACCGAAAGAACCATATACTCTCCCTGCTGCCTTACTCTTTTTCTCTCATGTTCAACCAAAACACACATAGCAAGTAGCTGTCGTAGAAATCCGCCCAATTTGAAATTTGTGTCAGTATACATTTGCTTGAAATTTTCATCTCAATGATATCTTGCTCCACAGGCAGCCCATTGGTTTCCTTGGCCTCTGGGTAAAGATATTCTACCAAAAGGCCTGCAGAAACCCATCTCTAGCCATACCCACTTGGGTTTTGGCCCTGCAGTATCCATCCTTCTATAGACCCAAGTTCTCTATCAGAAATGTACTTTTCTCTACCTTCACGTGTATCCTTTTCTTCAAATCTCACTCAGGATTCTGCATGAATACCTCTCCTCTCTGGTTCCTTTTATTCTTGTTCTGCATCGCCCCGTTGCGTATGTGTTTGCTGTTTGAACTCGCCCTTTCCTGTGTGTGATTCTGCTGGACACTTGTTTCCTTGTGTCTGTGTGAAGTTTCCTTGGCCCCACCATCTTCAAACACATACAGCCAAATAAAGAACACTGATATAAAATGACGGTAAAAATTATCATTACTTTAGCAAGCCGCTAACAAAAGCTCATCTTGTTTTATATGAGATTTATCACTCATTTCACTTTCATAACTATGGCAATATGCCATATATGTTTTATCTTTAACCAAATGCATGTTTACGGGGGGTTTTTTTTTTGTCTATTCAAGAAGAAATTTGAGTGGATTTGCTTAGATTCTTTTGTTATTGTATACATTAATACTAGATACCTAAAAAATTAAAACCTTGATTAATCAGAGGGGGGATTTTCCAACTGTCAGTAAAGTGACTAATGTTTTCTAAGTTTCTAACTTGTTTTTGTCTTTTGTCTTGCTCTCTCTTTCTCCTTTTGATCTAGTATTGAAGTTACAGTTCTACATATGCTTTGTGTATAAATGAATTTAACACTGACTGCTTTGTCTTCAGAATCACATCTGAGATAAGATTCCTACCTCCTTTGTGGCATATGTTATATTTAATTTTTGGAACTGGAATCATCAAAATGATGCTTGAAGTACATGTAGATATCTCCAAAATATAGTGTCATTTCTACTCAACGTGCTGTCTTGTCATAACAAGTTGGTCTCTGAGCAGACCTCAGAGGAAATTAAATACAATGCAGAAATGTTTTTTTGTTGAAGGAAAATGTTTGCGGAAGGTCATCTCCCCCATCTGCATGCTTGGGCAGGACACCCAAAGTAGCTGCTGCCAGACAAATGTCTGCAAAATAACCCAAACTGACAGGTCACCTTTATGACTATTTTGCCATAATTCTGTTGTCCAATCATGTAATGTCCAGTGTTGTACAGAAGGGTTCGATAGGCTAAAACTTCTGAGATACTGGTCTACCACTCAATTATATGCCAAAAATGTAGTCAAGTGCTGAGTTGTAAATGTCTGTGGTGCCTATGATTGAATGTATTTTTTTCCCTGCATGATCATCCATTCTGGTGTTTTTTAAGTAGCACAAAATGAGCCTGATTTGTTCTCCTTTGTAGAGCCAGGCCGAGGCCCACTACAAAGGAAGTAAACATGCCAAGAAGGTCAAAGCACTAGAGGCAACGAAAAATAAACCCAAAATGGTTTCTTCCAAGGACAGCGCAAAGGCTAATCCCAGCTGCTCCATCACTCCAATCACAGGCAACAGCTCTGACAAATCAGGTCAATGACACTTTTTGTTCTTTACATTCTTTGTTTCCAGCCTATTCCCCTGCCCTCTGTCCCTGCATGGTACCTCCATGATTTGTTTTTGTAATATTTATGTGTTTCCTTCATGGGAAGGGTTATATGTTTGCACAGAATCTAAACATTTGATATGTTGCCGTTCCGTGTTGTGAAATATACACATTTAAGTATATGTATATGTGTGTGTGTGTAAATATGTATATATAAGTATATATGCATGAAAATAAGTGGAGACTGCTTGGTCACAATGTGTTTAAGCAAAAATCAGGGCAAGGGTCTGAAATACTGAGTTACTATTCCTTTCCACACTTCCTGTGTTTGATATGTTCTGTGGATGTTTTCAGTGTAAGAATGCTTAAAGTTGTTTATAATTGACACTTTTATGTTCTCTTACCCTAGCAAATGAAGGTTGAAAGTTTTCTGAGAAAGTAATATTACTAAATGGGTCTGGAAACATGTAAAATAATAAAAAGATCTGATTTTTTAAGTATCTTCATAGGGCTCTTCTCAGAGTTACAAATGAACTCAAAGATTTTAAGAAAACTATTTACAAAATTATGAATTAACAGAACTTTATAGGTAAATGGAAAGAGACTACAAATGGAGTGACATTTTTTTTTTCTTTTTTGAGGTACTGGGCATTGAACCCTGGACCTCCATGCCAACCTACATTATCAGGTTTCTTGTTTTGTTTTGTTTTGTTTTTTTGAGACAGGATCTTGCTGATTTGCCAAGGTTGGGCTAGAACTTGCAAACCTTCTGCCTCAGCCTCCCAGAGTGTTGGAATTACAGACAAGTACCACCATGCCCAGCTTAGAAATGACTCTTAAGAAAGAGTCTGATGGGCCAGGGATTTAGCTCAGTGGTGCTCCACCTGCCTTGCAAGCACAAGGTCCTGAGTTCAATCCCTGGTACCAAAAAAAAAAGCCTATTATTTCTTGAACATAGAATCTGCAATATTTCTGAGTAGGTTCATTCAGTGGAAAGAAAAAGCTCTTGGATGTTTAATAGGCTCACATCTGCTCATGAAGACCCTTGATAGATACACCTGCTTGTTTCTGTGCCTAATTCAAAAATAATGTCTAGTCCAGGACAAGAAGGGAACATGTCCCTTTCTCCTGTCTGACTGTCTTTGGGGACCTTTCTGTTGTAGGAAATACTCTGACACTTCTGATTCTCTCCTGCTCCTTCCAAAACTTGTAGCATTTGAAGAGGATGCTTATGAATGCTTTCCTGTAGTTTTTGCAGGGCCTTTGGAGGACAGCACATCCATTAGTGTGGAAAGAAGATTCAGAAATCTATTCAGAGGACTATGTTGGAAAGCGCCATTAATGATTGGGTCCTATAGATGCTGATTTCAAAAGCACTTCGGGCTAGAAAGAGTGAACAGGCAAATTTTGTAACAAAGATTTTTTATTTTTCATGAGATAGAATCACAAATTCATGTTACCTGATGCACAGATAGTAAATAATGGATTATTACATTAGCACTTCACACACATACATTTATATGCCTATATATTCTTATTAATCTTTAACCCACATCTGTCAGATATTAGTGTCACATATTGTCTTCATTTGAACAAAATTGCAAAGTGTGGTAAGGTAAACGATAAGGCAGCTGATTGCCAAAGGTTACGTACTGTTTGGAAGAGCAGAATTCGTAATTACCTGACTGCCTGCTTGGTTTCATTTTCTACAGAATATTATTGCCTGTATGGAACAATGCTCTGCCAAAAGCTTTTATTGCCTGAATTATGCTCTTTACCTCCAGCATAACTTATAAATAAAAGGATAAAATAATGGAGGTTAGTGTCACTCCAGTTTTTCAGTTTATTTTGTGGCTTGAGCTAACCCAACAGTTGGTAGGTGCTGAAAACATTCCTGAATGTGCACAATGTTTCCCTTAAGTTATATGACTATTTGTGAATTGGGTTTGCTCTGGGGATAGTAGTAAAAGCAATGAGCAGAGAAGGAAGTATGAAAAGAGCTAAAGAATAAGGCATAGAATCAAGGAAAGAGCAATTTGGAAAGAGCAAATCCAAATAAAGGAGCCTAGGCTATAACCACTGCATCCCTTATACCTACACGGTGCCCAAATATTAAAGCCAAATTTAACAAGACAAGACTTTTCTTCTAATGCTCAAATGTAACTTTGATCAGTTGCATTCGCCTGGAAAGCAACTGGTACCCGCGAGGGTCAAAGACAAAAGTGGTTTAAACAAGGAAAGAGAAGTAAGATGTGGAAGAGCCCTGGGGATGAGAGTAGGGAGAGATGAAAAACAACCACCACTCCAGCATCTCTGTAGCAGTATGCGGGGGTCTTTATTTAGTCTTGCATTCTCTGTTTCTCGGCCACTTCCCCACCCATCCCCTGTAATACCTGTGGTTCAGCAGTGTTGGCCTCACTCACTATGAGAATGTCCATATTTGGACTAGAAATACCGCAAATCACTTGTATTTGGAGGTACTCCATTTGCCACCTTATCTCAAAATCTGTGTGATTTATTTTTAACTCATTGAGTGGATGATTTTAATTACTTGTTTTTTCATGTTTTATCTGAGTATTAATGGGAATGAAATATTTTATGTGTTCTATTATACCCAAAAAAGCAACATCAAAGTCAGTGAAAGATGATATTATTTAAAAATATAGTGGATTAGACTTGCTAAATATGTAGATTTGCATCCTTTGGTCGCCTCCCCTCGAATATAGCTTTAAAGAATTATCATGTGCTTTACCCTATATCCCAGTTGGAAAATTAGAAGTTTTGATCAGATGGTAATCTAGTCTAAACAATGCAGTGTGTGATGTATTGTTAACTGCCTATTTCTAAATCCACGAAAAACTCCTACAATTCTGTCAGAGTTATAGATTTTTGTTGGAGTTAGCTTTTTAGAAAACCAATTTTAGGAAAGCAGAGGGCACAAACACGAGACTTCTGTGAATGTTCTATGTGGAATTTAGCAAAGAAGTGGGTGGGAAGAGAAATGGCCACTGTGCCACAAAGTGACTGAAGTGTTTCAGTGCAGGCAGCGTCAGCGCCAAAGAGTAGCCAAATATCAGAGTGGCAGTCATGGGAAAATGAATGGTTGCCTAGCAAATTGCGTGGCACTGAAATGTCCTAACATTGGCCTTTTCTGAATGAAGAGCTCCTATAAAGTGAGTGTGAGTAGAATCTAGATGACTCCTAGTGAAAAGTGAAACTGTTGTTCAATGTCTGAGCTACCAGATTTTCTTTTCTTTTTTTTTTTTTGGTACCGCGAATCGAACTCAGGCCCTTGTGCTTGTGTGGCAGGTGGCAGAACCACTGAACTAAATCCCCCGCCCAGATTTTAACTATCCAAGCATTCACAATATCCACAGGATCCACTAATCCAATTTCCAGGCTCATATTTTAGCATCAGCTTAGCAACAGTCTTGTTTGGTGACAGCAGGTTTTGAGGAGAAGAACCGGTATTAAGGGAAGGAACCACTGGGAGAGCACATCCTGGGATTCCCTGAGCACCGTTCCAGGTGAGGTACGATTTCAGAGAACCTGTCAAGGAGTCAGGGGCGCCCAGATGACCTCTCGGCGCAGCCTGAGAGCTCACATTATTTATTCCAAGACATGATCTAACAGTCTTCCAAGAGCCAGGGAAGCCTTCTTCCCTGCTATTTTGACACTTGAGACAACCATTTCTCTCTTTTATGTTACATTTGGAGACATAATTTGGCTCATGTTGTATCTGGATCTGTGTGATACAGAGACTTGTCATAATGGAACACAATACGTAACGCTTTCAGGCTATCATGACAAGCTTTCCTGTTTTGGGGTATTTGGTTTTTTTCTGCCTTGAGTTAGTAAACCAAATGGATTTGAATTACAATAGCAAGAATTTCACTTATTCTAGGGAATTGCAGCTACACGGTGTTTTAATTTAAATATTTCCCTCAAGGGTAGGTGAGTAAGAATGGCCATCTCATTCACTTTTCAGAAGTTAGGGTCAAATTAAATGTAAAGTGCAAAGAAACAGCTTTATGATCCCCTAGGATCTGCCCCAACTGTTAATGGTGCATCAGGAGAAATCTGAAACAGTGAGAGGGAGGAGAAATGTGCTTTGGGAGAATTGGGGTCAAAACACAGCAAGCATTAGGCAGCTTCAGGAATATGGCTGGAACATACTGGCCGGACACTGTACCCAAATTTCCCCCTAGAGTTCAAGTGCCATACGACTGCATACATCACATTGAAGGCTTTTTGGTGACCGCATTTAACTACTTATAACAGGTTCAAAAAAATGCACGGCCTTTGAAAAACTTTACTTCTCAAATATAACCAACTATGTGATAGTCAACCTAATAATGAAATAATAAAATATTAAATTATTATGATAGTCCACCTAACATTCCCTATGCCTGGCCTTTATTACCAGGTTTTTAGACTATTAATTAGAAAGCATGATGGCGAGGAATGCATTTCCAGTTTAAAATACATAAAACTGTTTAGAGCTGAACAGCATTTAGTCAGTTGCTTTCTAAACAGAGGAAAGCACAGGGAGTGATTTAAAAAGCCACAGATATATTTATAAATGTAACTAAGAGCAAACACGGTGGAATTAGCACATTCTGCTTGAAATGTAACAGTAGGAAGACCTTCATCTGTTCACTTTGCAAGGTGTGCCCACGTATGTTTTCAATTGATCCTGTCTGCACTCTGCACACTGTGATAGGAAGGGCTGAGATTAATATCTGCCTTTTATTCATGCAAAAAAGTGACCTCTGTTTATGCACTCAACATACGGTTATTATCTATATCAGTGATGGCAAACCTTTCAGAGATGAATGCCCAGACTGCAATCCCAAATCCACTTATTTATCAACAGTGCCGATACTGCAATTAAACCTCAATGTTGAGGTTTTCGTTTAGAAAAAACTCATACAGTAACATCTTTTCTCTTAAGAGATGAACACAAGAGGGTGCATGCTATAGGTT